TGTCTAAGACCAATGTGCCTAAACTTTCCATTGTATACTTTACTGAATGTTATTGCTAGGGTGGCTTGGCTATCACAATGTATCAACACTTTTGAAACATTTTCTTTAGCCAATGGAACTTCCAACAGAAGGTCTCTCAACCATTTTGCTTCTTGACCAACGTAAGCAAGAGCCACAAACTCGTATTCCATGTTTGAAAGAGTAATGCATGTATGTTTCTTTATCTTCAAATAAATCACACCTCCAGCTAATGTAAATATCCACCAAGTTGTAGATTTATGATCTCCAACACTCGATATCCAACTCGCATTGGTATATCCTTCTAGCATAGTAGGAAACCTACCATAATGAATGCCAAGATTGTTTGTCTTTAAGAGGTAACCGAAAATCTTGGTTATGGCCTTCCAATATTCACCATTTGGATTACTAGTAAATTTAATCATCTTACTAACTGCAAATGTTATGTCTGGTCTGATGCATTGCATTAAATACATTAGAAATCTAATTGCACTTGCATATTCCAATAGGGACTACAATTCTTCCATTGTTCTTTTGAAGTTTGACACTAGGGTCAAATGAAGTGTTTTCTTCCTTAAAGTGCAGATATTTGAACATCTAACATTTTCTCAATATAATGTGTTTGAATAAGTTCATAATTCCTACTATTTCATTTTAATTTGATCCCTAAAATAGTGTCAACTAGTCCAAGATCTTTCATCTTGAATGTGGAAGTCAAGAATTTATTTTTTTCTAAAGTTCCATTCATCTCATTGCTAAATGATCAACATATCATCAACATAGACACAAAAATATTATAATGTTTCCACACATCTTTGTGTACAAACATTTTTCACAAGAGTTTAGAGTAAATCCATTTGAGAGTATGACAAAGTCAGACTTTTGATGTCATTGTTTCAGTGCCTATTTTAAACCATATAAGGAATTGACAATTTTGCATAATTTTTGTTCATTTCCAAGAAGCATGTAACCTTCTGGTTGTTCCATGTAGATTTACTCATTGAGATCTCCATTTAATAATTTTTTTTAACATCCATTTGATGAATTATAAGGTCATTCAAAGAGGATAAGGCAAACAATACTCGAATTGTTGTTGTTCTTGCCACTGGTGCATATGTGTCGAAGTAATCAACACCCTATTTTTGTCTAAATTCTTTTGCTACTAATCTTTCCTTATATGTGTTTAATGTACCGTCAATATGATACTTCTTTTTAAACATCCATTCACATCCAATGGGCTTTTAACCCTTTGGAAGGTCGACAAGTTCCAAAGTGTGGTTTGAAATAATTGAATCCATTTCGTCTTGGAGAACATCTTTACTAAAGGAATAGCCCCTTGAAGTCACTGCTTCTTCATAAGTTTTTGGATCATCTTCTAATTGGAAAATAATAGAGACCTTATGAACATCATTCTTGCAATTCCCTTCAACTAGATAAAAGGAAATGAGTTAAGAATCAATTTTATTTGAACCTAGAACTTTATCTTTTCTGGCTCTTTTGCTTACCCTAGGCTCAGGTTAATGTTTCAACAATCTGTGAGATACTTTCGGGTTGCACTTCAACAATTCGTGGAGATTCTTCATCACAAGATTCTTCAATCGTGAGAATCTCATATTCCTTATCCTTCGTGATAAGGTTTAAAAAAAAACTCTACATCTCGAGATTCAACAATTACGTTAGACTCCAGATTTAAAAGCCTATATGCTTTGTTGTTGGATGCATATCTTATGAAAACACATTTGATCTCTCAAGGATCCAATTTCGTTCTTTTAGGATCCATATTTTTTTAATATGCTACACATCCCACACTCTAAAATAACTGATATTTGGTGATCTACCTTTCTGTATCTCATATGGAGAAATACCGGTTAACTTTAAAGAAATCTGATTCATTATATAACATGCGGATAGTAATGTTTCACCCCACAAATTAAATGGCAATTCAGAACACATTAACATAACATTTATCATTTTTTGATATGTTCTATTTTATCTCTCGGCTAGACCATTTTGTTGTGGTGTACGAGGTGCAAAAAATTCATGTATAATGCCATATTCTTCACAATATGCATCAAATTCCGTAAAAAAGTGTCCATCGCCTTTATCACTTCTAAAGAATTTGATACTTCTACTTAATTGATTTTCTACTTTCTCTTTATAGATTTTGAAGGCATTAAAAGTATCATCTTTATGCTTTAAAAGATATACCGGTTTTCCCCATGGGTTAGCATGTCATTAAATTCACACAAATCAAGTGCATAAGATCAAGCAAATTTAATTTTCTTTAAACACTTTTGAAGGGTTTCTTGGTCGTCTTTGATTTGACACATATTTCACATTTTTTGAAATCATGAATATTGCATGAGATCAATCAAGATTTAATTAGTCTTCTCATAGTACTAATACCGTTATTTTCTATTCTAGAATTACATAAAAAATAGATTCAAGCACATAAGAAAAATTAGAAATTTCATTAATAATATTATCGGTAGTACAAATTTTGATCGTTCCCTCAACATAATATTCTTTTCCTACAAATACACCATTATGGGTCAATATTAGTTTGCCCGATTCATATACAAATTTAATGTCCGATTTTCCCAACAAATCTCCACTAACAAGATTCCTATTCATGCCGGTGACATGAAGCACATTAACAAGAGTGAATTTCTTTCCGGAAGTGAAGTTGAGTTCGACGGATCTGATTCTAACAACTTTAGATCGTACTTCATTTCCCATTTGTACTTCCAATCCATCAATAACCTCATAATAAATTTTAAAAGCAGCCTTGCTATTAGAGACATGCACTGTAGAACTTGTGTCATACCACCATCCTTGCACTTTTCCTTTGATTTCCATTACTTCGCTTACTGTAGTGATTATGTTGCATTAATCTCATTTTTTGACTTGTTGTGCCTACAATCTCGAACATAGTTTTTGAGTTTTCCACATACAAAACAATTGTTTTTCGGACCGCCAGAATTTTTGAACTTGTTATGTTACTTTTTAGGTCCAAGATGACTCTTCATGCCATCATGTTTCCTTTTTTGTTTGACGGTCACATCATTGACTTTGGAAAGACCAGCATAATCAAATTTCTCCCTTTTTTTTATTCCTCCTCAGTTCGAAGGTGTTTCTAGATTTTTCTCTATAAAGAAGTCCTCGAAATTGTGCAACAATTTCTTTCTATAGCCTTTCCATGAAGGTGGTAATAATGATTGCCCCCCAACTTGAAAGGTCTCAGGAATATCTATTTTCACAACTTTTATGTTATTCACAAGAACCTGTAACTCGTGCACTTGGGAAAGAATGGGTTTGAAATCTAAAAATTTAAAATCAAAGTATTTAGAAATTAAAAACTTCTTCCTACCTTCCTCTTCGGCCTTGAATTTAAACTCAAGTGCTTTCTTGATTTCTGTTGCAGACTGAGTATCCGTATAGAGGTTGTAGAGATGATCAGATAGCGTATTCAGGATATGTCCACGACATATCAAGTTGTCCTCTTTACGTTTTTTACACTCCTTCTTGAGTTCATCAGAGTCATTCTCGATTAGCTCAGGAATTGGTGGTAACTCAGGATCTAAGACATAGTGAACCTTCAGAGCGGTCAGTAGGAATGTCATTTTATCTTACCATCGGGTGTAGTTGGTTCAATCAAAGTGATCCAACTTGACAAGGTGTTGATTCATAACTTTGATGCTTGAAACTACAGTGTCGAAAGTCATTATTTAAATACTTTTAAGACTGTTAGAAATATCGGTAAAGTTGAATGGATCCAGGTCTGAATCGTGAATAATGTCAGTTTCCTTAAAAGTATTTAAAGCACTCTCAAATGTGTCTTAGAGTTGGAACGCAGGAATACCCGGAATAATTCAGCCTTATTCGGTTTGTGATGTGATTTTCTTACTTCAAATGAAGTATTTATAGCTAGGTCATGTATGTGTTGTTTCACAAGATTGCAACCCTGGAGGAAACAACATTTTTTAACTAAAAGTTGCATTATTTCCATTCGTTGTCTCTTTTTGTTTTGCAATACTTCACAGAGAGTTGTTGTTTTTTTTCGAATTCAAAATTCAAACACATGCATCGACCAAAAGGAGAGCAATAGTAAATCCGGCCGAAAAATACAAAATGAGAGCAATATGTAGAGAAGAATACACCATATTTTTGTTACAGATAACTAAAAATTGTTAGATCTTAAACTTCTATATAACCACTTGTTATAACTAAGTTGATCAATGAATAAATGATTTTTTTTTCCTTCCATTATCTGTTTTCTCTATTTTCATTCATCATCGTCAAGATTCGTGAAAACTTCATAAAAAAGAGAAGGTGACTCAGTGTTGTTGCGACTCCTGATTCCTTCGCGAGGGAGTGCATGTGAATTATATTTCCATTACGGTCTCTAAGAAAAGGGATTGGATGATAACTACATACACTCTAGCATCTTTTAGGTTTTCTTACTCGATAAGAACAAGTTTAGTCTTAATTCTTATATCCAACTAATCTAAGTCCACATCATAAGTATCACATGACTTTTTTTTATATGACGTGGTATTGATAAGCTCTAAATATACAACCACTAACATAACTTCGCCATCGGATACTTTTTAGAAAAGTCATCTCAATCTCAAGTATTTTATAGTGGCAAAAACCTTTTGATATTACAACTAGCCTTTTAGAAAAAGTCTTCAATAATTTTCTAAAATATCTCCCTTTAAATATTTTAGAAAACAATAATGAGTGGTGGTAGTTAAAGGAAAACGCCTTGCCGACATAGAAAGCAAACAGTGTTTAAAAGGACATATATAACATATACGGTATTCCCTGCCCTACTATGTTATTTATGTATGATATGTCAGATACATTAAAATCTCCAACCACAATTTTCATAGATATTTTTCCATTGCATAATATAAATAATTGAACAACCCTTCAACTCTTAAAGAAAGTAAGCTATCATCAACCATTTCTTAAAAACAATGGCATCAACAGGAACTACCGATAGCGATCTTGTAAAGAATGCAAAGGCGACTGCAGCATCAGCAAAGACAGCTGTGGGGGAACAGACTGCTAAGGTTACAACCGCTGCTGGGGGTGTTCAGAAAACCGTAGGAGAGTACGTGGACAAGGCTGCTGATTATGTTCATTCCAAACCAGATCCACCACCTGCTGAACCAGGTGTTTTTAGTGGTGTTGCCAAGGCTGCTGGTGATGCTCAGAAGACTGTAGGAGAGTTTGTTACCAAGGCTGTTGATTATGTTACTCCCACTCCCAAACCAGAAGGCCCAGTCGCTAAAACAGAAGCTGCGGTTACTGATGCTAAAAAGGCTGCTGGAGACGTGTTTAAAAAATGAAATATCATGTTGTGATTCGTTAATAAGGATATACTAAATTTGTAGTTGCTTTCAGTTTTAGTCTAACCTAATTCATCTGTTATCGTTCCAAAATCCTAAACATCATTTGTTTTAAGGGAGAAAAATCTTTTAATGGGAGAAACATCATTCATTTGTTGTTGTTGTTGATGTTTCATTGGAGAAATTAATTTTACCAATTTTTACCAAAATATTTTTTTGCACTCTTAATTTATTATCTCACATAATTTCGTTATTGTTGTTGATTATGTCTCTTGTAGTTGATTGTTATATTTGAGAATAATTTTTGAATCTTGTTATTTAAGATAAAAATTTAACGATTTAATTCTTTCTCTTTTTTAAAATATTAAGAAATCTATAAAGCAAAAATAAAATCTTTGATGATAAGAAATTATAAGTGATATTTTTCTGGGCCAAAAAAGTTAAACAGAGATGTGACACGGGTGGTCGTGTTGTGTGACACGGTCCGTGTCAGGGGACTCAGGGAAAATACGCCATGAAAACTCAAGCAGAGATGTGACACGGGTGGCCGTGTCGTGTGACACGTCCCGTGTCAGGCTACCAGGGTGAAAAACCAAACTTTTCTCTTGTTTTTTGCTTCTTTTTGTGGTTCTTAAAAATGGTTTCTTGGTCCCCCTTGGGTTCTTACATGATATACACAGCACAATAACACTCAAACAAAGAGAACAAATGATAAATGCACAATATAAAAGAAGAAAAGAGTTTGAAGAAATGGATACCCAAAAGTTGTTACCCCCCTTGCAAAGCCTCCACTGATTTTGGCTAGGTGTTCACTTCTCTTCACTCTATGCTTTGATGACTTTCCTCAATGGCTCCATTGTGTTTCTCTTTCACTCTCTTCACTTTTTGCTGGTTTTTGCTCTCTCTATTTTTCTGGTTTTTCTTACTCTTTTTCTCTCAATCTCTATCTCAATGTGTTGTGAATGATAGTGAATGATCTTTTGTTTGCAGCTCCTTCCCTCCTTATCTCACTTTTTCTGCTGCCTTTTTCTGCTGTACCAAAACCACAGCTCTTGCACACTTCTCCATTTTCAGAATTTCCATTCTTGGCAATATCTTTTACCACCTTTTGGTGCAGCTCCACTTTCCTTCCATTTCTAGTATGTTTTTTGCTGTATTTTTTTCTGCAGCACTCTACCTTTCTATTCACCCTTGTACCCATTGGTTGGTTGATTTGTTTGGACATACCCATGTAGTCAATACACTACCTTTTGGACATCATTTTCAAATTCTGATTTTTGATGTGTAGATGTATCAACATAACCTTATAGCCTTGGTTTTGTGACATAAAATGATTTTGTAATATGATACACATTGCCACTTCTTGCATGGGGCTGTTTTGGACCATATTCAAATTGCCCATGAATGTATGCATAGCCTTGAGCTTGAGATATTCCAACATTGAATTAGCTCTTAAATATTTTCCTTGCATGTTTGTAAGCACAAAGAGGACCATGTGGACTTGATGAGGCATGGGGGATACCATGGCATGAAGTTATTTTTAGAAACTTGAATTAAGACTAGAAATAACTTAATTTCCTAAGCATTACCAAGAGTTTGGATTTTGTAACAAATGTGACATTCTTGCAAATGTCATGAAATTTTTCTTTGTAATATTCTTGAATCTAGCCTCAAATTCATGAACCTTGAATTTGGAATGATGGGCCTCCCTTATGTCATTGAATTTGAAAGAAATGAAGAAATGAGTCAAGCCTTGAAAGAGGACAAATTTTGGGGTGCAAAAGCTGCCCCTATTCAAGCGACTTGGACCTGAAGGGATGAAAAGCAAACGCTTTCAAACATTCGAGGTAAAAGGTGATTGAATACAAAAGAACCCAAAAAATTTGTCAACCGCAGAATGAAACCTCTGACATCGCCGTCAGGCACCTATATCAGGTAGAACATCTGACTTCGCCATCAGTCGTCGATCAAATACAAACACCTGACCTTGCTGTCAGCTCTTGATAGCATTCTAACTTCGCCGTCGAAACTCAACATCAAATCTGTGAGATCTGACCTCACCGTCAATATTCAACATAATCTGTAAAAACATCTGATTGGTAGAACATCTGATCTCGCCATCAGTCCTCCATATCCTCTGACTTCGCCATCAACTTACAACATAATCTGACTTCGTCATCAATTAAAATCATTTGACTTCGCCGTTATTTCTCAAACCATTCTGACGTCGCCGTCAACCCTCTACATGATCTGACTTCGCCATCAATTCTCCACATAAAATTTGGAAAAACACCTGACTTCGCTGTCAGTCCTTAACATTAAATTGGTAGGACACCTGACTTCACTGTCACCCCTCCATAATTTGACTTCGTCGTCAATTCTTTACATAATCCAACATCGCCGTCAACTCTCAACATAACCTGACTTCGCCATCAACTCTCTTCATGATTTGACTTCGCCGTCGATTCCCAACATGGCCTGACTTCGCCGTCAACTCTCTTCATATTCTGACTTCGTCGTCAATTCTCTTCATAATCTGATCTCGTCGTCAATTCTCTTCATAATCTGACTTCGTCGTCAATTCTCTTCATAATCTGACCTTGTCGTCAATTCTCTTCATAATTTGACTTCGTCGTCAATTTTTTAATAATCTGACTTCGTCGTCAATTTTTTTAATAGGATCTAACTTCGCCGCTAGCTATCAAAATCATTTGACTTCACCGTTACTTCATTTTGCTAAAAAGCGAGCATCGAACCCAAAGGTCGGTTCAACCCTAAGTTCAGAAGAACATTCGTCGATTCACCATCTGGATGAAGAAATCCGTTGGGGAAACATGAACTTGAATAAATAGACTCCGCTAGGGAGACCGATAAGATGAACACATTTGTCAATGACCTGGCTGGAGGTCTGGATACCACGCAGGATTGAGAAATATACTGATAACTGCTGGAGATACGCTTGAAAACAAAGGGGTGGCAACCGGGCTTATGTTTTACATGCATATGTTTGAATATGGTGTAATGCTCCATACGAAATGGAAATGCTACGCGTTTGGGAGGATGTTATGCATGATGCAAATGTAAAGGAAACACTTTAGCAAAATAAATGCCAAAGAGAAAGGATTAATTCCGCTGGGGAAAAGACTAGACACGTCTAGTACAAATGTTGGGGAAAACAAACCCTGGGTGGTCTTCTGAGCAAACTTCTGGGTAAAATTGTTCCGCTAAGAGCAAATCCACCCTGCTTGGTATTAGACAATGAGGGAATCAACATCAACCTGTGCTTGGGGAAATGAGCAATAAACTCAATAAATACAACTTCCGCTTGAGGAATGAGTCAATGACCTAGACTCTGAGAGGAAAAGGAGCCAGTTATTCAAACTCTATGGGGAAAACAAATTTCTGAATTCGTTCCACTGCTGAGGGAAAAACCCACACCCGCTCACTGGAAACAATCCTGCTCTACTGGAGATGTCAATCTTGACCTGCTGAGGATATCCTTTGATTGTCAAGGTTTCAAACTGCTGGGGGGTGAGAACCCACTTAAACTGCACACTTCCTTTAGATGAGGAACTTCTGGAGAAGCCTCGAGGAAAGTTCTCTTGCAAATAACAAATAAACAAGTATGTTTTATGCAGCAGGTACCATCTCAATTATCACTTAAGACGTTATTCAAGCAAATACAATGTTTCAATTATAGATAGCAAAGCCCGCAAATTTATTTATGCAAAGTTTTATCAAAAACATCAGGCGTCTTTTGCAAACAAAACGGTAAAAACAAAACAAAAGGTTTTCTGGATAGTATGTTTTATTGATAAATGGCCTGTAAATAGGCAAATCTACATGGGACACAACTCCTGAAATGAGAAAGCTGCGTAATAAATATACAGAAATGCACAAGAATATCAAAATGTCGGCAATATGGTACAGACAACCACCATAGAACGACTCAACTATGACTCGCATGACTTCGACGCCTTTCCGATGCTTTGTCTTCTGAAGAGATTGATTTGACCGACTGCTTCTCGAGTTCTCCCATAATCCACTATGCTTTAAAGATCAATGCGCAGGCCGCAGTCATTTGCTTTTCAAATCCCTAACTTTTGCCTGAACCACCCTTGTGGGTTTTCGATTCACCGGGATACCCATTTTTGCCAAAGTCGCCCTTTCAGATTTTCAACTTTGCGGGTTTACATTTTTTTTATCTCTAATTTTTGCCCGAACCTATCCTTTTATGGTTCGCCGAGATGCCCCATTCTTGCCTATATTTTCTTTTTCTTTCCAGCGGGTCTATTTTAAGCAAAGTATCTTTTGACTGCGTCCGCGTTCACAGGGGACGTAAAATCTTCGCCATCCATAGTTGAAAGTAGCAAGGCTCCTCCAGAGAAGACCTTCCTTACAACATACGGACCTTCATAATTGGGAGTCCATTTGTCCCTATGATCGTTCTGTGGTGGGAGAATCCGCTTCAACACCAGATCGCCTGTCTGAAAGCTTCGAGGACGCATCTTCTTATCGTAGGCTTTCTTCATCCTACTGTGATACAGACAACCGTACGCAAGAGACGCCAACCTCTTCTCATCCATCAAACTGTGTTGAGTTAACCTGTTCTTCACCCATTCTGCTTCATTCAACTTGACGTCAGCCAGAACTCTCAAAGATGGGATCTCGACCTCCAATGGCAGAACAACCTCCATGCCATATACCAACGAGAAAGGAGTTGCCCCAGTTGAAGTACGCACCGAGGTGTGATATCCATGCAAAGCAAAATGCAACATCTCGTGCCAATCCTTATAAGTCACAACCATCTTATATACTATCTTCTTAATGTTCTTGTTAGCCGCTTCTACAGCGCCATTCATTTTCGGACGATAGGGAGAAGAATTGTGATGCTCGATTTTGAAATTCTGGCACAGTTCCTTCATCATCTTGTTATTCAGATTAGAACCATTATCAGTAATGATCCTCTCGGGTATTCCATATCGACAGATAATGTCCCT